CCATTGCTCTACGCAGCAGAACGCGGAGACGCCTTTCCTCTTCCCTCGGTTTAAAAGCAGGAAGGCTGACAAACTGGAAATGCAGTGAGCCATCACTGGGAGCCCTCCCTGTGCCTGCCTGGCCTGGCGTAGTTTCACTGACTCCAGGCAGAGCAGGTTGAGGATTTTAAGAGGCCATTTTAGAGGGATTTCGAGAGGAACCGCAGCAGCGTTGAGTGCTCCGGGGCAGCCGCCGTGCTGCCAGCTCCCTTCCTGGCTCTGCGGGGGATGTGCTGCCCGCCAGCGCAGAGCAACCCGGCAGCCACTGTACCTCCCACCTCGAAAAGATCCATTTTCTTGAGCTTGAGGAAGGCGCTCAGGAGGTTCTTGCAAAGTCTATATCTTGTAGCCACTTTTTTTTTTTTTTTTTGGGGGGGGGGGGGAATACGTAGCAAAGCTTATCAAGTTTTTTGGGGGGGGGGGGAATAAGTAGGAAAGCCTCATTAGCTGCTTCTGCTACTCCCCAAAGCAGAATTCAACTCTAACAACTGCCAGCCCCAAGTCCTGATACTACAGTAACTTAAAGTACTGCCCACGTTACTGGAGCACATGCTTTTGCTGTGAAAATGCCAATGTACATCAAAGTTCTTTCAAAGCATGCCGTCCTGTTGCAGTCATGGGAACTCAAGTTCCTTCTGCTTTTTGGTTTTATCAGCTAAGGTGTGGCAAGCCAGTGGAGAAAGATGAAGGACAACCTCCAGCTTCTTATGCTCTTTGTTATTGTCCAGATTTGTTCCCCAGGCTGCAGCAATTTCTAAACACATACAGAGCACCCAAAGGCACTGAAATTAAAGTTTAGCTTGCAGAATCTAAAGATTTTGCATTAAGGAGGAAAAAAAAAAAAAGATGTGCATCTTCTAAGCACAAACCTGAGTTTGCAGTAATGAGTACATAACTGAGAATTGCTGAGAGTCACAATTATTGTTTTGACCTGAAAAGGCCTATTTGTGGTGTTAATGTGAGTATGCAATTAATGTTGCACACGGACTGAAAACTAGATTTGTTTAAATTCTCAAATTTCCATTCTGTGGCAGTCTACAGCACTTTGGTAGTCCAAATATAAGATGAAGAGTAAAAACAAAACTCATTTGGATTCAGGCATGAATGGAATTAACAAAAAATCTGGCATTTTCATTTAAATCACCTAAGCATTTCACAGTTTGTCCAGCTTGTTTTGACTGCCAGCTTAAATTACTTTATTTAATGAAATATATATGGGAAAACCCAAAACTGAAATATCTGTCATGTGCAGTCATATCCATATCTGGATACAGACTATGAAGGAAACAGTTTTCTTAAATGTAGCCTTCTCAAATTACTTTCTTTGCTTCAGATCAAATTTTTGTGGAGATTTATTACAGCCTGCCAGTTCACTTGCTGTAAATACATTTCCTGTTCCTGCTTTTCCAGTTCTTGCCTCCATTGTATTGTCTCATAAGAATCGTGGCGATGGCAGACCATCAGTCGGATTTGTGCAAGGGCTGCTGCTCACCCAGAGCAGGTACGGGGTGAGACAGGGCAGGACAGCTTCCCTCTGAGTGTCTCCAGCTTGGGAGTCCCATAGGAACTGCCTCTCCACAGCAAGGATTTCCACCCAGGCCTGTTCAGCCCTTGGCTTCTCACTGGCAGCTGTGGCAAGAGTTAGTCAGGGTGATTTGGAACCACCTGCTTTTTAGTAATTGCTCTGGGAGTAAGCAAAGAGGCCGTGCAGAACAGAGAAGAGCCTTCAGGGCATGATAAGTTTCAGCCCTGTGATTGAATCACAGATTGTTTGGGTAGGAAGGGGCTGCACCTCCTGCTGAGCACAGGGTCAGCAGCCTTGGGCTGCTCAGGGCTTTGTCCACTCAGGTCTTGAAAACCTCTGAGGATGGAAACTGGAGTTTCTCTGGGCAGGCTGCTATACTGCCGGAGTGTCCTCAGGGGAAAAGTTTATCTTTATATCCAGTCTGAACCTCCCAATTTCAATTTATGACTGTTGGGTCTCATCTTTCTGCCCCTCTGTAAAGACCCTGGATTCTTGTAAGTATTGGAAAGCTTTCCTCAAAACCTTCTCTTCTCCAGGCTGAACAAGCTCATTTTCTTCTTCCCCTCACAGTACGAGTGCTCCAGCCATCTGACCTCATGGCAGGCCTCCGCTGAGCTCACTACAGTTTATTGACATCTTTCTTGTACTAGGGGCCCAAAACTGGACACGTTCCAAATGTGCTCTAAGAAGTGCCAAGTCAAGGGCAATAATTGGTTGCCTCTCTCTTCTGGCTATGCTCCTGCGGATGCAGCCCAGCGTGCTGTTACCTCCATTACCACCAGGCACAGTGCTGGCTCGTGTTTAGCGCACTGTCCACCAGGACCCCCAGATCCAGACTGGGATCATGAATGAGCAGGGTGGGCTGATACCGGGTCTTTCAGAGAGTGTTTCTCTCTGGGTTCTCCCTCTCCATAATTGCGTCAGATGGCCTGTTTGTCACATGCTGTGGTGAGTCATTGCCATGATAACACCCTGACATGCTTGTGACTGCATGCGACTCTGAGCTGTCTGCAGTCATGGAGCCCAGTGTTCAGCTCTTCAGCAGAAACAAAAAATGTGCTGAGCCAGGGCGAGTTTGAGACCTAAGAAACCAACCCTGCATGTCGCCCGGGATCGCTGAGGGAGCACAGGACAGGATAGGGGCAGTGGGATGCTTATGTCAGCTCCCTCTCCTGCTTCTTAAAATTTGTAGTGGTAGCTCTGGTGGTGGAAACTGAAGCCGCTTGCTCTGTGCTCTGACTCGGGGGATGGGGAAGAGGGAGGACTGAATCACTGCACTTTCAGGGGCTGTGCCCTTCCTTGCATCTTAGAGTGCAAAGTTGTTCGGTGCACTTTGATTTCCATATGGCAAAAAACATATGTACAATAGCATCTGAACATCATTATCTTACTTTTGACGTACTGTTCGCAGCCTGGAAGAAGCACAGAGGTATGACCTCTAAGAGGAGATGTGCAGTATGGTCATGGCTCCCAGGACAGGATGGTCACTGATCAGCTGTCTTGGAAAGGCACCAGAGTTTGGTCCTGCACCTTCTCGGTGCTGGAGAGGTGGGAGAATATACCCCATTGCAGGAATTGTTTCTGTTCCTATTTCACCTAGAGCACCTAAGCAGTGGCAAACTGGCATTTGTTTTTCCCCATGGAAGCAGGTGGGATTCAGGCAGGAGAGCAAAGGTATTCCCTTGAATATAGGAAGAAGGGGAAGTACACCAGATAGCTGGAAAGGGAAAATCTACTCACCGCTGGTACTGATCCACTGGGAGAGGAGGGAGGGCTATATAATGATGATGCAGTGCAGGAGGTAAGGCGTATGTAAGGCCTGGGGAGAACTGCACTTGCAGCAAGGATTCCCAAGACTAATTCATATTGCCCTTGTAAACAAAGCCTGAAATCTTCTGCATTCCTGGCCAAGAATTTTACCGTAGAGCCATTATGTTCCAGAGAGCCAATCGTGGGAGAGAAGAGCTGCAACTCATATGAGTTCAGGCCTCCCTCTGGGGTATTGGGCAAGTTATTCTGACCTGAGCACAGGTTTTACACTCTGGAAACTGGGATGATAACTCAGGTGGCTTTATGGTTCAGTTATTTTTTTGGAAAATGTTTACAGTTTGAAACATCATAGATTCCAGCAAATGTGCTGGAAGAACTGTCAAATAAATGTTGTAAAACCTCAGACGTGGGTAGTTTGCTTTCAAAGCTTGATTTTTGGATGTCTCTTTTGTGATGCTGGGTCTGTAATAACTTGTTCTAAATTTGAAAAGGGAGCTAATGCTGAAGACAGCCCTTTTTCTTGTTGTAAAAATGATGTATATTAAAAACTTTTCTTTAAAAAGACCGGTAGTCTCGTGCATGTAAATACTGAAGCACTTCACATTTGTTGTTAGATATACAAGACAGAAGGGGAAGCTGAGACATCAATAGAGGAAATCATTTGTCAAAATAAATCTTCTAGAGTACCCACACAGTTCTCTGTTGGAGGCTGCAGACTTGGTGTCAGTCTGTGGTGACTGAATCACACCGCTGTCTTGGCTTTGCTGCCTGTCTAGATTTCTGGTCATGCTTTAACACAAAACATTATTCATTTTATACCTTGGAAAAGCAGGAACTCTGTGTCTGGGAATTCAGCAGCAGGGACCTGGAGGGTACTGAGGCAAACTGATAGTGTGGGCCTTAAGTCCTGAATACTTGAATCTTGTATCAGTATTAAATTACCTATTGTTTCCTTAAGGTGAAACCTCAGCTAGAAGAAAAAGAAGGGAAAACGTTTGATGTCTTCACTGCAGTGGAGTTCAAAACTCAGGTGGTTGCTGGAACAAATTACTTCATAAAGGTAAAAGACACTGAGCAGTGGGAGGGGGTTTTTGGGGGTTTTTTTAATTAATATGTATAATATTTGGAATAGTGATTTTTTCCTTTACTTACCTACAGGAGGGTGCTTATGATTTGACCTTAATAAGAAAAAAAATCTGTACATTAAAAAAAAATAAATCCACAGTTATTTTGTGAAATTTGGTTTTGGGCGTAATTACACATCTGTGATGTCAAGCACTAACGTCGCATTAAGTGAAGTCCAGATGTGTAAAGATACAGTGAAGTATTAAACCTGCTCTGACTCTGCCTGTAGTGATAGCACACACCGAGCACCTGTGATCAAAGCGTTTAAGTGCTTGTTGTGCTGGGTAAGATTAGAGCACTTTACATGTTATTTAATATATTAATCACTTCTCTGGAACTCTGATTGATCCCTACCTGTATGTTCCCTATCTCAGGCATAGGGAGGATCACAAGCATAGAAGGATTAGGTGGTATTTCCACAGTCATGACTTTAAAACAAGACCACACCTTCTGAGGTGATGGTTTTTCTTACCACCTCTCTGCTTCTCCATCTTCAAAACACACCCTTCTACACCATCCCTCCTGCTGAACTCACTGCTTTTCATGCTTTGCAGGTCCATGTTGGTAATGATGAGTTCATGCACCTGCGGGTGTTCAGAAGCCTTCCTCATGAGAGTAAGTCGCTGAGTCTCCACAGTTACCAGAGCAGCAAGACTAAGCACGATGAACTTGCTTTTTTCTAGCAAGCTTATCTTGTGTGTTTTCCTAATGGTTTCTTACGTGCATTTTCTATAGGCTTGCAAAATGTTGATTCCTGTGCCAACAAATGAGAAAAGAAAGTGTCTTTTTTTAAACTTAATGCTGGAAAAATCAATTTCTTTTATGCCATTCCTTTCCTGTGCAGTATCTACATTTTAGCGTCACAGGACTCTCCTTTCACCTACACTAATGGAAACCCAAGTAGCTGCACTGATTTCAGCACAACTCAACCAGAATACTGTGGCTGAGTCCTCTTTGTGGACTTTGGTCTGGAAATTGAAAGGGGAGTGACACTAGCACTCATGTATTTACAGCAAGGGGCAACAGGAAAACCAGAGTCTTTTCTGTGCTGTTTTGCAATTGTGAATATATCTGTAGATTTAAATTGTACTATGTATTTTACTGGCAAAAATCTGAAGAGAGGCTTGAGCTGAAGCAATTTTGAAAGCGAGAGAAAGAGGAGGATTACAGTCTTTTGAAACAAGCATTCCCTTGGTAATCATGTTTATCGTCTTGCAGCAGTAGGATATAATGTCCAGTAGAGGGTGTATGAGTTTAAAAAAAAAAAAACAAACAACTTGCTTATTTTCTCAGTCGTAAGGAAAAGTCCTGGAAAAAGAACTTAAGCTGGACAAGCGTTTCTGCATTAATAAATATTTCTCCTGAATTGAAATGGCATATTTGACTGGTGTTTCACTGTTCTCTTTACTGGTGTTCAGTACTGGTTATTATCTTGCTCAGTTGTTGGTGGGTTGGTTTTTTTATGAGTGTTTTTCATATTCCAGATAACCTTATGTTTAATCTACGTTTTAATTAGAAATACTTTATTTTAATCTGGTAAGGGACTTGAAAGGCAGGTATATCAGCATGCTATATATTAGCAGCAAACGCTAAGGAAAATCTGGGCCCTCTGTGCTCAGTGGAGCAGGGGACCAGCTGACAGAGGACACAGAAAAGGTTGAGACAGCTCAGTGCTGCCTTTGTGATTACTGGTGGGGCTTTCCTTCAGGAATTCCAGGTCCCTAAGATGAGTGGGAAAGTCTGGAAAAAGGAAGAATTCCCTCAGCAGAGCTGGATCACATCAGGGGAGCACTTAAACAAACTGGAGTTGGACAGTGCCATGGCGCTTGAGGGGATGCACCCATGGATGTTTAGGGCGCTGGCCAATGTCATTGCCAGGCCACACTCAATACCCTTTGAAAAGTCATGGCCATCAGGGGAGGTTCCCAAGGACTGGAAAAAAGAAAATGTCACTCCTGTGAGGGAGAATCTGGGGCACTACAGGCTCATCAGCCTCACCTCAGTCCCTGGAAAGGTGGTAGAGCAAATAATGCTGGAAGCCATTTCCAAACACACCAAGGACAAGAAGGTGAGTGAAAGTAGCCAGCATGGATTTACAAAGGGGAAATCACACTTAATATGATTGATAGCCTGCTATGATAAACACCTTGGCAGAGAAGAGCTGTGGATGTCATTTACCTTGACTTTAGTGTAACATCTTCATTAATGACCTGGACGGTGGGACCGAGTGCACCCTCAGCGGGTTTGCAGATGACATGACACTGAGGAGCAGCCAATACACCGGATGGCTGTGCTGCCGTTCAGTGCTGACCCCTGTTCTGGGCTCCCCAGTACCAGGCAGACACAGATGTACCAGAGTCCAGCAAAGGGCCACGAAGACAACCGAGTGGAGCATCTGACTTAAGAGGCTGAGAAAGCTGGGCTTTTTCAGCCCTAGGACAAGGTGAAGTAACGAGCCAGGCTCTTCTCGGTAGTGTTCAGTGCAGTGAAAGGGCAAGAGGCAATAGCCACGAATAGAAACACAAATTCCATGTAAGTTTAGGGGGAAAAAACAAAACAAACCTACCACCACCTTTTTTTCCCTTGAGCAGTTGCAAGGGTGGTCAAACGGGACCAGGTTGCCCAGAGAGGTTGAGGAGGCTCCACTGATGGACAGCACCAAAATGCTGACTGCACATGGTCCTTATCCACCTGTTTTAGTTGACCTTGTGTTGAGCACAGGGCTTTGACTTGATGATCTCCAGCAGACCCTTATAACTACAACCAGTCTGTGATTTTTTTTGGGGG